TAGGTAGGTAGGTGGTGTGGTGCGGTGGTGCGATGTCGCTGTTGTTGCTGTGTCCACAAAACAGCGTCGAGTTGAGTGAGTCAAGTGGAATGTGAAGTGCAGAGGCCGTCGCCGGGTAGAGGAAATAAAGAGGAGAATGGTAGTCGCAGCCAAGTGCACTTCATTTCGTTTCCCCCTCATAAATTCAAACCGAAAAATTCGCTTACGGCAGCGCAGCGGGGGCATAGCACGAAGTGCACTTGAAAACAAGCTGCCTACAGTGCCACACAGCCACAGAGCAGACACGCACACGTACAGTGTGGATTAGTTGCAGCTACTATGGTTAAGCGTCGCTCTAGAAACTCTAATTTTGTTGAAAAGTCAAAAGAAATTTAGAAAATTCCTGATTATCAACGCAAACGCCAGAGCTAAACAAGAAAATACTTTAAGAATTGCATCAAATTTATCAAATTCAAGATAATACAAAATTATAGTCTAAAAATGTCTTTAGGCCCCACAGTCTCCTAGCTCAAGCTCCAGCTCCAGCTCTGCAGCTGTCGGCGTGTTCTTTGCGCAGGTGTCTGTGTGTGTGTCTGGTAGGAAATTTAGTTGCCTCAACAGAACCGCAAATGCGACAAAAGCAGAATGCAATTCGCACTTGAAACTGAAAAGCGAAAAACAACAACAACAACAACATCAACTGGAACAACAACAAAGCGCATTGTGGTTAAAAGAGAAAAACTTTGGTAGCAACTTTAGCCCAGGCGGCAGCTGCTGCTGCTGTTGCTGCCTTTTTTCCAAGAGGTTTTCCCAATTTGCGGCAGAAAATGAAAATTTAAATTTTTAAGCAACGCAAACGTCGACGAACGAAGTCTGCCAAAAAGTTGCTCAACAGTTTTTCAGTGAGCTGTTTTTTTTTATTATTTTCATTTTCCGCTGCAGCTGAAAAATTTCACACATTTCCCACAGCGCATTGCCGTGTGCCACTATCCAAATGCTCCATTTGCCTGCCATTTCCCTTGCTTGTTTTATTTTTTTGTGCCAGCATCTTTTCATCAGGCAAGTCTCGACACGCTGACATTTAACAATTTTGTCAGCATGCAACAACTTCCACGTTTTTGCTTCTTTTGAGGCTTTCCCGCAATGAGACGAACTGCTAGTTGCCATGTTTCTCAGTCTGCGCACTCGTTTCAATTTAATATAATGAAGGACAGGAATCTCTTATATTGTTTGACCAACTGGCCAACAGGCGCCGGGCAATCATCGCAAAGAATGCACAACCGACAGGAGGTGTTTCCTGCACCAACAGCTGCAGCTCCAGCTGTTGCCAGCTGCGTGCTCTGTAGCATGCAACAAATGCCTCAAGTGCATAACTGCTGCCGCTGGGGTCTGTCAGTCCGGCATAAATCACTGCATTTGCTCGTTGGCAAGGACCTGCCTGCCTGCCCGCCTGCTCACCCCTCTCGTCCTGCTGCGTATGTGCTCCATGGCTAATCTGTGGTTGTGGCCTGCCTGACAGCTCCCTCGCCCGTTTGCCCTACCATTATGGAGAGCTGGCCCGGCTGGCAAATGCAGCTTTTGTTTGCCTTCGCATGCACTCTCTACTTTCACTGTTTGCCTCACACTTGGCTCAATTAAAAAATAGCTTCGCTCCGCTTTGGGCAGGTGCGGCAAGGACAACTGTTTCCTTTGGCAATTAATTTGTACTCGTTCAAAGGCATTTTTAATTACCTTTCTACACGAAATGCAGCAGTTTTTGCTTGTACGCAGCGTTGATTTTCGCACCTATATAAATATATGCAGAACTTTCCAAAGTTCCCCCGGTCCGTACATGCATTTTATTATTGGGTCAGCCTAACAGACAAGCAGACAAAGAGATAGCATGTGTTGATAGCTGTTCTTTATTGCTCCATTATATTAATGGCAACTAAGTACAACACAATTACGAATGCTGCCAGGAGTTACCTTTCAGCTGGCCAATTTCTGCAGAGCTCCGCTGCATTGACTTTTGCTTTCGGCATCAGCTGAAAGGCAACTGAGCTCAAGTTCTGTTACACTTTCGTTCGAATTCTGAGAAAACTTCGTAACTTTCTACGAACCAATGCTTGAAGTCGGGCAACGGAAACGAGAGAAAAAACTCGCTGAGAGAAAAATATTTTGCGCAAGCGCAGAAAAAATCTGAGTTGAAAAAGTTCCTGAGCTCAATTGAGCAAAGTTTTTATAAGAGTAGAAGAGCAAAAGGCTTGAATGAAGTCTGTGATTAGATGAAGCATAAGCATAAGATTTAGCTTAGAGTCTGACTGACAGGAAAAGTAAAAATTAAATTCATATAATAATTATAAAGTAAACAGAAATATTTCATATATATATATATATATATATATATATTAAATCATTTTAACACACTTCAATAAATATTTGCTTTCAATAATTGCATAAACAAAACTATATCTCAATTAATTGTGCTCTAATTCCTCTTTTTTGTCAGTTGTTAGCAAATATTTGTTTCGGTATTTCACAATCAATATTTTGCCATCAAATATATTTATCAAAAAAATATTTTCAAATCAGACTAAATGCTTAAAATAAATTGAATGTGAGAATTCGATTGATTTGGCAAAGGACACTAAATAAAGGACGAATTTTCTATACCCTCTCAGAAAAAGCTTGCTTAAGCAGATAGTTATGTTAATAAGACACTCAAAAGTCGCACTTAGCTCATGTTAATCTCCAATATAGATGATATATGTTCAGATATGTTCCAGATCTCATGACACATGAAGGATGCCCTTTGACAGGAGCACTAGCAGCTGTAGAGAGAGGAATTGCAAAGCAGGTTACCAAAAACTCAAATTCCTAATAGAAGCGAGGCAGACGAGCGTAAACAAAGATTCATTCGATTTTAATTAACAGAAACAGCAAAGCCATGTAAATGGGAACTTGGATGAAAAATAGTATGTAATGAAAGCAATGCAGCTGGTGTGCAAAGCCTCAACATAATGCAGTACATTTCGTCTTTGCTCTATCTCAGTCGAGAGTACTTTGTTGAATTTTGCTTTTGCTTTTGCTTTGGCTTTGGCTTAAATTTGTGTTCGACTTTCTGTTTTGTAGGTAATTTCTTTATGCGCGCAGCGTACACAGCTTGATTTGTGGCGCTTTGTCTTAGATGCCCCCAAATGTTTCGCCCCTCTCAGGAATAAAACGTGAAGGTTGCCCCATGTAGCAACCACTCACGTAAGCCGTGCGAAAGATATGTAAGCCAAGCTCGGGGCTAGGCGATTCTCGCCAGCGACACACGCACACGGACGAGGTCAATTTCATGCAGCACACACAGCGACAACAACAATAACAACAACAATAGCAGCAACAACATTGACAACTTCTGCTGCTTGGATACATGTAGGACACGTACTCCTTTGCGCGTTGGCTGCTTTTCTTTTGATGCCGCACGACAGGTGCTCAGTTGTAACTAAACGTCCGTTCCAGCTACACCACCTGGCCAACACATGCCTGTCTGTGTGTGTGTGTTTGTGTGTGTGTCTGTCTCATATATGCCAGCACACACATCAGGCGGGCAGCTGTTAGACGGTCACGTTTGCCCAGGCCGTAATTGATAGTTCAATCTGTTGCAGATCAAACGCTTGACAGCAGCCAACAGATCAAGCTGAAAAATTGCCTTCGAGCCGGAATTGAGCTTAGTCGCTTAAGCATACGACTATTTATGAATTTATGGTTAAAGCTATTTGGTTTCTTCTTTCTACAATTGTCAATTTATTTTATATTAAAAAGTTTCTTTCAGCTGCATAAATTCAATTTCAAAAACACTTTATTTATATTTTCTTTTACATTTTAGCTGCTCTTTCAAGCTTTCAATCATTTTTTCTATAGCTTGAGCACGTGCTAAAGCGTGTTGCACTTCACTTTGGGAAAACTCGACTTAATCCGTGCATAGATTTATGCTTTTAACTTATTTGCAGTAGAAATGCTATTGCACTTTTCTAACTTTTCTTCCTCTACTTCAGCTTGTTCTTTGGAAAATAAGTCTTTTATTGGTAGCCGGAGTTGTGCTGCCAATTTTGTTTACTGCTCATGTTTTGTCGCTTTATTTTAATGGCTGACGCGTTGAAATACTCGGCTTCATTTATGTTTATGCTCGCATTTTTTATTTGTGTAATTTAAGCGTCGAGTGGCGTTCATAAATTCTGATGCTGAGAGGTCACGTTGTCTCATTAAAACAACAACAGCAATAAGTGTAATAACAACAGCAATAAGCACAACACCCACACACACACATACACACACAACCACACAGCGAGCAACGGGAATAAAATTGTTTACCTTTACGTGAAATAATAACAAGTTGTATATTTTCCATAAAGACTATAAGCAATCATCTTTGAAATTGAGTAAAATCCATTAAATTTAATTCCCAATTAATAATCTGAAGTGTAATCTCAACCAATTGACCAATTGTAAGTGGGGGCCAAACAGGTTTATCAATATGAATCTGATTATTTTAGTCTATGACTAAACAAAAGGAAGCACTCAATGACTTCTTAGAAATATGATAACGTGTCGATACAACTAACTACTTTTTGGAAGCTTCTTTTAAGAATATACAAAAGTCTACGACATTCGAGCGGACTGCGATATTTATATTTATTGATAAGGCGATCTTCACGCGAGTTAAAATAATTTAATATATTATAAGCATTTATATATATGTATGTTTTATAATCTTATCAGTTATATTAATGACAACTTTTATCTGGCAGAAGCTTCATATAGTGAATGAATTTGCCTAAGCAAGTTTAGTTTCGAAAATATCATCAGCTAGTGAACATATAAAAGCAATAAAAGGAGAAAGCACATAAATAATACACAGAGAAATCGCAGCTTTTTTTTTTAATAAAATGAAAGGTAAATGTTATATTAAATTTATTATCATTTTATTAGAAAGACTCCAAATTGTATGCCTAATTTAACTTTGTCTACACTTGCAGTCAACACGTTTAATTGGCTGCCAGTGCTATTTCTACTGGTGGCCATGGGTCTAGCTTTGCGCAGTGAGCCGAGGCACGCAACTTGTGACAATGAGCAAAGATATGAGAATCAGGTTATGTGCGCGGGCGTGCAATTCGGCTATCGAGCGCCCTATCCGGACAACTGCAGCTTGGTCCTGGTTTGCGATTGTCTATACCCCACTGTGCAGATCTGTCCAGCGGACTTGTGGTGGGATAACAAGACACAGAACTGTAACTGGCCGCAGGAAACGGAGTGTATTTACTACACCATCGAGACAACAACCGGCTTGTATGATCCAACTACACCCACAATAGATGGCACTTGGCCCACATCTAGCTATGATCCACCACCGCCACCACCGGGCATTGCGAAATCATTCTGTAAGAACTTTCCGGATGGTTCGGTGCATCGATATCCATACGATTGCAATGCTTATATCAATTGTACGCTTGGCTGGCCAGTATTGAATTATTGTGACCATGATAAGGTCTTCAATCAGTGGCTGCTCATTTGCGATACGCCAGAGACCGCTGAGTGTGAGCCACTGCCTTTGCCGCCCTCGACAACAACCCAAGAGCCAATAACAACACCAGCAACCACTGAAAAGCCAACAACAGCACCACCAACAACAACTACAGTGGAGCCCACAACAACTACAGCCGCGCCAACAACAACAACCGTCGAGCCAACAACAACTACAGTGGAGCCCACAACAACTACAACCGCGCCAACAACAACAACCGTCGAGCCAACAACAACTACAGCCGCGCCAACAACAACTACAGTTGAGCCAACTTCAACAACTGAAGATGGACAGTGTGGCCCGCCACCTCTTGGCATTGATGAGGATTACTGCTTTGATTTAGGAAACGGCTTCTATGAATATCCCTACGATTGCAGTGCGTACATTACCTGTCGCAATGGCTGCACGAATATGGCTTATTGCATACCCGACAAGCTCTTCAACTCGCTGTGGCACATATGTGATACGCCCAATTCGGTCAACTGTCAACCTGTGGCATATCCGACAACGACAACGCCTGGAACCACCGATGACACCAGCAGTTCGAGCAGTGGTGCGGAGACAAGCACAACGCCAGTGCCAACGGATACCAGCACCACCACAGTTGCAACTACAACAACACCTGCATTGCCACCAGATGTAAATCCCGATCTATGTAAGGGCTTGCCTGATTACACACGCTTTCCCTATGCCGCCGACTGCTCTCAGTTCCTGCAATGCAGGGACAATCAGGTGATTTTGGGTCAGTGTGCTCCTTCGCTGCTCTTCAATCCCGATTTCTTGATATGTGATAATGCCGATGATGTGATATGTTACGAAGATCGCACCACCAGCACCAGCACTGAAGCGCCTACTACAACAACTAGCAGCACGACGGTAACAACGACGCCTGCGACAACACCTGGGCCAGCTGATCTGTGCGCCAATGAGCCCATGGGAACTTCATATCCGTATGTGCAGAATTGCGAATATTATATTCTATGCTTGGGTGATGGCGAATACTATGTTGCCAGATGCATTTCGAATACGTACTTTGATCCAAAAACGGGTAATTGTGGGGCAAATGTATCGCCGACAGCTTGCAGGGAGCAGGATACAGCCACAACCACAACCGAGGCAACAACAACGACAAAGACGACAACGGAAGTTGTCAGCACCATTTCAACACCTACCACTAGTGTGGCAACAACGACAACCGTGGCACCCGTGCGACCGGGCGGCATATGTGGCACTAAGGATGAGGGCGAAATGATTGCCTATCCGAACGATTGCAGCAAGTATATTGTCTGTGTGTCGCCGATTCCGGTTGGTTTCTACTGCACGGCCGGCTCCTACTTCAGTGCCAAACAGCAGCAGTGTGTGAGCTGGGAGGACAGCGATTGCGACAAAGACACGGCCACAACACCTGGCCACACCCAGGCACCCTTGGAGCCGACCATGTGTACGAACAGCACTCGCGAGACGTTCCCCTACCCGGAGAACTGCCAGTGGTTCATACGCTGTGTCGACGATTACATCTACATGATGGATGTGTGCAACTGCGGCGAATACTACGATCCGATAAGCGGCAAATGCGGTGCTGACGTGCCATCGGATGCCTGTCGCTGGGACTACACATCCACAACAACAGCAACGACAACTGAGGCAACGCCAGAGCCCACACCTCCCGTAACACGTCCACCACCACAAAAGGGTCCATGTGATGATGCAGCCGATGGCGAACTAGTGCCCTATCCCAACGACTGCTCCAAGTACATCAAATGCGATCGTCCAATAGCCGCCGCATACGACTGCGATGAAGGCGATGAGTTTAGTCCAGAGTTACGTAAATGTATGGAGGCTTCGCTGGCCAATTGCCACGTTGGTACAACGGCGAACCCCGCAGAACCAACGACACCTAGTTGGCCAGGCTCAACAACAGCCAGTGACCAGACAACCGACTCAACCACGAGTCCGGGCTCGTCCATAACTCCTGAGCCTTCCACAACTGTTGAGCCATCTACAACTCCTGAGACTTCCACAACTCCTAAGCCTTCCTCAACTCCGGAGATTTCCACAACCTCGGAGGCATCCACCACTCCCAGCCCATCCACAACCTCCCAGTCTTCCACTACTAGCGAACCTTCCACAACTACTGAGCCTTCCACAACACCGAACACATCAACAAGCGAGCCCAGCACAAGCCCTGAATCAACAACAACTGAACAGACGACCACGCCAGCGCCTTCAGGCGGCATTTGCGGCGGTAAACCAAATGGAACCCTTGTGCCATATCCAAACAATTGTGGCAAATATATTGTATGCCAAGAGCCCATACCCGTGGGCTATGATTGTCCTGAAGGTCTGGAGTTTAGCCCCACACAGTTGGAGTGTATGGATCCCGAGTTGGCCAACTGTATACCAAAACCAACCACGGCAACAACGACATCTTCCCCAAGCACTACGCCTTTCACAACGAAACCCACAACTTACACTACTCCAGATACCACGCTGTCTACGCCTACCACTCCTGACGTTCCATGTAATACTTCTCCCGACACTTCCAGTACAGTAACAGATACTACTACTCCGAATACTCCGGAGACCTCAACAACAGTGACGGATTCTACAACTCCGACTACTACTACTACAGACGTTCCGTGTAATACTTCTCCCGACACTTCCAGTACAGTAACAGCTAGTACTACTCCGAATACTCCGGAAACTTCCAGCACAGTAATCGATACTACAAGTCCAATGACAACTGAGACGCCGCCAAGCACAACAGTTGCAACAACGCAGAGGACAACTTCAGGACCAACAACAATACATCCCGATACGCCCAACATATGCTGCGGTCACCCGCTAGGCACAGTTTTGCCATATCCGAACGATTGCAATCGTTATGTTGTCTGTGACTATCCCATACCCTATGCTGTGGTCTGTGGGGAGGGCACACTGTTCGATGCAGAGTATCTGCAATGCACAGCCAACGAAAATGTAAATTGTATATGAGGAGTATTGATCTTTAATTAAATATTTAAAAGCAATCACAAATATAGACGAAGCTAATGAATTATGTATGGAATGCTCCTCTCTTCGGCTCTGGTTCCCACACTTTCAGAATCAATTGTCTAAATGCACAAATGCAAATCCAGTTTAGACGCTTTAACGACAACTTTTACGGCCTCTGAGACATGTTAGAGTTGGTATCAATTACACGTAAACCCTTTTTGAAAGCATTGCCATTACAAATCCCACACAAGTACACACAAAAAAGATAATTTGCCACTTAATATCGAGTCCCAGGAAACAGGCGTGCGACAAGCAGGAAGCCCCACAACAAGACAGCGGCAAGGACATTTTATTTTCGTATACGATAATATCAGTAACAAGTTTCAGCAATTTATCGTTGTTTGATTTTGCCAAAGGCTCGTGCCCAACCTCCCTAGTCCATATCCTTACCTAATCCGATTTCAAGTTTGGCCACATGTACTACAATTGGCTAAGGAATTATATTTGGGGCGGGCAAATACATATAATACTGCTGTGTATCTAGGCAGAGCGGGAGAGAGGGAGAGGGTAGAAGCAACTCGAAAGTAAAGTAGAAATGTTGTGTGACAACAAGAAGGAAGAGACAAATAAACACATTTGGAACAAATTGTATGGCAATAATGTTAACCTAATGCGTTCCATTTGTCGCAATTCAAACGATAGACACGCTTTGCGAGTCAAGTGATTTGTTAACTCCCCTGGGGCCGGCAAGCAAATTGGGCAGAGTCTTGGCCTTATCGGAGAATGGGCTATTAGTGTGCGCCAGGTATTATATATGCTCAGTCTACTGTAGCGCATAAAACAATTTGGCAGCAGTTGGCTGTCTTCCAGATCAATTGCCAATTTACATAGCCAGTTTGCAGCGACATTCTTCATAAATCGCAGTTAAAAAACAATTTTGCCAAACATTTATTTCGCTCGAATTTTGAAACGAAGCCAAGTTTAAAGTGCTGCCTGGAAATTGGGCGACTAGCCAAAGTCTCACACAGCATGTCTATAAATGTCACACTGGGTGTATGCGTAATATGAATGTAAAACATGTTAGAAAAGTTGCAAAATCAAACTGCAAATGAATCTGAGCTAAGCTACGCCCCACAAGCGTATCATAGCCCAATGGTGAATTATGAATCAACTCTTGACAAAATTCCTATTCCCTCTAATAATGCAAATTAATTATACGCCACGTAGACATAACTTTATATTATTAAAACAATTCATAAAGCATATCAAATGCATTTTGTCAGTTTGACAGCTTGTTAAACTTTGATAAAAGCTCAGCCCGAGCTGTGCAACGTACAATTAGCGAATCGAAATGTAATGTTCATATTCTATGTGCCAAACTACCCAGCACAAACACGTTTGGGTTTATAAAACTTTTGCTCTGCATATTAATATGCAATTCCAACCATTTATGTAAAATATATTTTATGCTACCCGCGAGAATTCAGCGAGTTGTGCAACAGTTAGACAGGAGCGCACATACACACACAAACAGACACACATTCACGGTTAGCTGAGCTTTTGCATATCTAAATTGCATATTGATCCAAGTCAAAAGAAGCTTCAAAGTTTTCAATTTGATTGACGGATGTGTGTTTGATTTAACTTGTATTTATTTTATTTTTTAACAGTTTCTGCTTTGTTTTGTTGTCAGGTGCGATTTGAATAATTTTATAAATTTGATTGGATTTGATTTTGTGAAATTGAAGTAGCAGAATGAAAGGTTCTAATTTGCCTTTCGTTTTAGTTTTGTAAATTTCGTATCTTCTGATCTCCTTCTTCTCCTGCAACTCCCTCCTCCCAACGCCCTTCTTCAGGTTCATTTGCCGGGCCAGTGATGATGCCATGCGGTATGGTTATGGGTAAAGCTGGGTCCGTGTGCTCCATCAATACTTGCAACAGCATTGGAGTTCGAAATACCCGTAATAATCACCTTTCCGTTGCCAAATGCAATAGTAGAATTCTGTTGCTTAGCCAACTGAATGGCCAAGTTGGCCAATGCGGTGCTTAGGATATCACTGCTGGTCTGAGGAGCTGCCAAGCTGTAGGCAAAGATGCTGCCGATGATCAAACAAACAACTGATACGAGATGCATGGCTAAGTCGCTGTAAGTTACTGTGCTTTTCGTCAACCAAATGTTGCCTTTTATACAAAAGATCTTACAGCTGTTGACCTTGTTAGACTAGCTATAACTTTGCTGGCAAAGGTTAATGTCAGAATTAGTCAAATATTTAACAATTGAATTGGGTTTTGCTACTTCGTGTTTCAGAAGGCAGAAGGCAACACCTGTTCTTAAGCAATCATTCATCTAATCTGGTTTGCCTTAGAGAAATATTTCACCTGTAATCAGTTGAGTCCAACTCAGCATTAGGCGAGCAAAAACATTACATGTTTGCTTCACAAACAATCATGAATAGAATGACATTAGAGCTGCCAATGTTCGTAATAATCAACGAACTGTTCTTACATTGAACAGTCGAATTGTTCGCTTAGCCAACTCTATGGCCTCATTGGCTAATTCGGCAAAGATGCTACACTTGAGAAACTTAGGAACTAATACCATATGACGTCTCTCTAAATGATATAACTTTCCTCAGTTACCATAGCTAGATGTTGCTTTTAAGCAAAACATTTTATAAATTGTCCTATATTTAACATGAAGATAAAAGCGTGAAGTGTTTGCTTAACAAACAAGCGTGAATAGCTCAAGCAATATTAAGACTGATATTTGTTCATCGGTTATATTGTTTATATGGTTTACCTGCAACAAGAGCAACACTCTTACTTAAATCCTATTTAAATTACAAATTATTTTCATTTAATTTGTAGTTAAAATATACAATTGCTTATGAATGCAATCTATATCTTAGATCAAAAATTCTTAGCTCAGACGCTCTGGATACACATTAAAAGAGGCCTCAACATTTTCAATTTGATTGACTTTTAGCTTGTATTTATTTAATATTTAAACAGTTTTGTTTAGTTTTATGGTGGAATGTGAACAATTTAATAAATTTGAATTGAATTCTGTTGGGTAAGACCGAGAGATTGAAGGTTTGTCTGTCATTTGTCTCAGATTTAGTTATTAGGTCTATTGTTCTCCTCCTCCTCTACCAGTTCTTCGGCATCATCAGCATCCTCGGGATCCTCATGGTAATTCTCCGACATCAGCTCTAAAATTTGCCCATCATCCTCAGGAGTTTCGATGTCATTTTCTTCCTCGGGATTTCCACGCCAGAAACCGTTCCAGCCATTGTTCCAGCCATTGATCCAGCCATAGTTCCAGCCAACTGGGCGACTATAATGTTGCCAGACAGGTTTGTGTCCATCAATAGTGGCAGTGGCGTTGGAGTTCGCAATACCCGTAATAATCACCGTTCCGTTGTCAATTGCAATAGTAGAATTCTTTTGCTTAGCCAACTGAATGGCCAAGTTGGCCAATGCGGTGCTTAGGATATCACTGTTGGTCTGAGGAGCTGCCAAGGTGTAGGCAAAGATGCTGCCGATGATCAAGCTAACCACTGATACGATATGCATGGCTAAGTCGCTGTAAGTAACTGTGCTTTCCGTCAGCCAAATGTTGCCTTTTATACAAAAGATCTTACAGCTCTTGGCATTGCTACTTGGTGTTTCATGAAGTAAACACCTGTTCTTAAGCAATCATTCATCTAATATGGTTTGCCTTAGAGGAATATTTCACCTGTAATCATTTGAGTCCAACTCAGCATTAGGCGAGCAAAACATTACATGTTTGCTTCACAAACAATCATGAATAGAATGACATGTTCGTAATAATCAACGAACTGTTCTTACATTGAACAGTCGAATTGTTCGCTTAGCCAACTCTATGGCCTCATTGGCTAATTCGGCAAAGATGCTACACTTGAGAAACTTAGGAACTAATACCATATGACGTCTCTCTAAATGATATAACTTTCCTCAGTTACCATAGCTAGATGTTGCTTTTAAGCAAAACATTTTATAAATTGTCCTATATTTAACATGAAGATAAAAGCTGTTCATAAGTAAACGTTGGTTGTCGGGCCACTAATCTGCTAGCCCCAAGAGCGAGAACATTACACAAGCCAGCGTGAAGTGTTTGCTTAACAAACAAGCGTGAATAGCTCAAGCAATATTAAGACTGATATTTGTTCATCGGTTATATTGTTTATATGGTTTACCTGCAACAAGAGCAACACTCTTACTTAAATCCTATTTAAATTACAAATTATTTTCATTTAATTTGTAGTTAAAATATACACTTGCTTGTGAATGCAATCCATATCTTAGATCAAAAATTCTTAGCTCAGACGCTCTGGATACACATTAAAAGAGGCCTCAACATTTTCAATTTGATTGACTTTTAGCTTGTATTTATTTAATATTTCAACAGTTTTGTTTAGTTTTATGGTGGAATGTGAACAATTTAATAAATTTGAATTGAATTCTGTTGGGTAGGAGTTAGAGATTGAATGTTTAAACTGCCATTTCGTTCTCCTCTTCGAACTCCTCCTCCTTCAGATCTTCGGCATCATCAGCATCCTCGGGATCCTCAGGGTAATTCTCCGACATCAGCTCTACAATTTGCTCATCATCCTCAGGAGTTTCGATGTCATTTTCTTCCTCGGGATTTCCACGCCAGAAACCGTTCCAGCCATTGTTCCAGCCATTGATCCAGCCATAGTTCCAGCCAACTGGGCGACTATAATGTTGCCAGACAGGTTTGTGTCCATCAATAGTGGCAGTGGCGTTGGAGTTCGCAATACCCGTAATAGTCACCGTTCCGTTGCCAATTGCAATAGTAGAATTCTTTTGCTTAGCCAACTGAATGGCCAAGTTGGCCAATGCGGTGCTTAGGATATCACTGTTGGTCTGAGGAGCTGCCAATGTGTAGGCAAAGATGCTGCCGATGATCAAGCTAACCACTGATACGATATGCATGGTTAAGTCACTGATACCACGTTTTAAGTAACTGTGTTGTCAGCCAGCCAAATGTTGCTTTTTATACAAAAGATCTTGCTCTAGGCGGCGCTATGTTATTGGATCTTACAAAATGCATACAAATATTTCATAATGTGGCAAATATTTAACAATTGAAATGGGTTCAGTTCCATGAAGGTAACAGCTGTGCTTAAGCAAACGCCGCTAATCTGGTTACCTTAGAGCGACAATATTACACAAGATAAGTCTAAAGTTTTACTTAACAAACAAGTTCGAATTTCTCTATAGATCGATTAAATGTGAAAAGCTTCTGATGTATGGCATAAAATATGTGTCAGTCAATTTCGAAATAGCTAAGCATCCACTAAGAATTGGTTGTAGATCAAATTTCGTAGGCTCGAACTCTCTAGCACTAACGCTCCTTAGATTATAGCAGCTTATACGGATTCATAAAACGAGTTATAGTACTTAGCTCATATTCCTCTTCTAATAAGTCAATGAAGTAATAAAAAAGTTAAATATCTTCAAAAAGTTTGCAGGTGGATCAGTATATCCGTCAGTGCAATCTTAAGCCAAATCCAGTTATCAACAAAAGTTGAGTGCATAAAAGAGAAGCGATTACAAGGCGGCAATAACACGATCCAGTCATATAAAAAAGAGGGCTCACAAATTTAATGTCACCAGGCGAAACGAAACGTTTAGCTTTTTATGCTTGAGGATGCAGCCAGAACTTCAGCGGCGTCCATATAACAAGTCAGGCTACAATATTCATAAAGGCGCGCATCATCGTTATTAGTATGTCAGCTGGATGAGGGAGAGGGAGGAAGGAAGAGGAGGTGATGGAGAGGGGAGCGGTAAACGGGGCTGCGTGTAAACAAGTCGACAACAAATTATGAGTCACGCAACAACATTTTATGTACTACACGTTGATTGAAGATTGTTTGGGTGTCAGTCGAACGTTGCGTATACGAAGCGTGTGCAGCAGCGAAAATAAAGCAAAAAGTTGTATCTTAATTAAATAGCGCGTTGACTGTACTGAAGCGACGTTTTTAATTAAATGAGAAATGCAAATGTGAATTTGCCGCTGGTGATACGATTTTTGTCGTTGGCTTTTTGCTCTGATTTTTCGAGTATATTCAGCGTTTTCCTGCCAACTGTTTACCTGTCGCCGCACATTTTCGCATTTACAATTTCTTTGTAATTCGACTTTTTACCTTTGCCCCGAATGGAAAGTGGCAGAAGCGAAAGCGAAAGTGAAAGTTGATATAAAATTAATTAACCACAGGCAATGTACTCGTCGTGCATATTGCATGTGATGAGATTTCTATTAATTTAAGAGCTCGTTGCGTTTCATTTGTGAACGCCGAGTGGCAGAGTTGATTTAATTAAACTTTCTGCGAGCCTTCATTGATTTGTCGCATCGGCTGAGAAATCGACAATTTTATGGCATGGTAATTGTGTTTTAATTCCCATGGCAAGTGAAACTTTACGAATTGCAAATTGTGCCATAGCAAACAAGCCGCAATTGCCTAGTCGCTGTTTTCATAAGCCAAACTTCAACTTGCCACTTCTCCACTGCTCTGGCATGGCTAAAGTTTTTGCATGTCATGTGCACAACTTACACTCGGTCGTGAGCCATGACTTGTGTGTTTATTTAATATCTATGCTCGTAAAATAAATTAAACATTCATATTCCGTTTATTTACTTAGGCAAATTGAGTTTCCACAGTTGACATGCTGAATACGCAAAAAAGTTCCACACTGCGGGGCAGATGGAAGACAGACAGTCAAATGCGCGAGGACTTCCACTTATCCCCGAGTCATCTGATAGCTCAAAAGTCCGGACGGAGGCTGGAGCGTTGTAAACAGGAAACGAATGTCTGTTGCATGCGCAAGTGACAAATGTCATGAAATATTCAATTGGCCAACATTCCTCGACTCTGTCACAGCTCTGCATATTCTCCAGCAAACCAATTTCAGAGTTGACGAAGTTTTAGAATTTTTAAATATATGTATATGTATATAGACCACTCGAAACAGCAATGCAATTTGCATACGGTATATAAATAAAAATATGATATCCAATTAATAACTATATATGCTCCAAGCTCCATTAGTCATTGTTCAATTGAGCTGCCCCTTAAGGCAAATAATTACACACACTGAGACATACGCACGATTGGCCATAAACCCTTAACAGGTCATAATTGGCAATCGAGTATAAAATATTATGTCATATGTGTAACTGGGGGTCAACAACAACAATGAGCATAAGAAAACAGAACACCGTTCATAAATCAAACACGCAAAGCCCCCAAAAACAATGTGTTTTGTGGCACAAACACTTAGACACTCATGAATACATATGCACCCGTGTATATCTATGTCTATGTGTGTGTGTGTGTGTGTGTGGAAGGAAACGCTTCGTTTTCATTGTGTAAATATTTAAGCACACAATAAAATGGTAACAATGGGTGGTATGCCAACCACACACACCACCTCCTTTCTGTTTCGTGGCATGCTTGAGGGTCCACAGAAAAAAACAAAAACAAAAACAAAACAAAAGCATAGCAGGTGTCAAATGTTGCGGCCAAAGAAAAGGCAAAGTCAGTGTCGGTTCACTTGCAGCCGCTAGCCCCTCGAGGCGACGTTCCAGCTTATGACAGACACACACACACACATACACACACGTACACACGAATTGGTAGTTCGATTTGCACATATGTTTAAACATTTTACGTAAGTAAAACTGAAAAATTTCGTTGCGGAACTTTCGGTACGTGCCGCTCTGGCCAGGCACGAAACGAGATGCCTGCTTCTAGCCAACTGACTGAAGTCGGTGCCTGGTGGCTCGCATTAGTTGTAAGCACATAAAAAACAAATAAATTGTATGCGCCTCATTGGATTTTATGACTGCAGCAGAAATGATTTACAACAAACACACGCACGCACACAAAGTGCTTTCGCTATGGGAAATTGTCAGGCTGGGCAAGTTTACATTCAATCAGCTAGTCAGTTTGTTGCAAGTTTGGCTTGGCCAAAAAAGTTCAAGCCGATTTTAATTAGACGCTCAGGTAAGCTATTACCTATGTGCAAGTTCCTTATAGCCGGCAGGTGGGTGGGTGTAAAACTTTATAATCGCATTGCGCACACCAAACTTTTGCAGCTCAGGTCTCACTTAGCGCCGCTCGTTGACTCAATCAGTTTGCTTGGCAGCTCTGGAAATATTTTTGGAAACGAATTATTGACAATTGCAATTCAATTTCACACACAATTTGGCCAAAAATGTCGTCGTGCTTGTTGTACGCGCTGTCGTTGCCACCGGAAATAGCAAAAAAAATAAAAAAGAATAAGGAAAAAACTTTCGCCGAGTGCTGCAGCTGAAAACTTTTCTGCACTTCGTGCCGCGCAGCGCAGCGCGCTTCATGGAAATGTAATTCAATGCTCTATCGAATGTTGCATAGTGCCCAAAGAAAGTAAATAAATATCAGCGACTACAAATGCACAATAAATACACACGCACACAGATGCGAACTGTCTCTCAGTGTGCGTGTGTGTGTGTGTGTGTTTACACTTTAAAATATTGTGCCAAAACATTTGATTGAATGCGCCGTTGATTGAGTTGCGAACTGTAAAAGCTTAAATCGAATTCGCTTTTGTGAGAGAGTTGCGTTTCCTCATGCCCTAATGGCTGGCAGTGAATATAAGAGAAGATATATATATATATATATATATTGATAGTCTGCATAAGAGCTGTGACTCAATTATATTTGGCATATTTGGTCGTAATATCGAATTGTTCTAAGTTAAATTTAGAAATAGAGATATATACATCATCATTTCCAGTTAAGAGAAATAAATGCTGTGCTCTAAAAATTAGCTGGCAGAAGAAATACATTTTAAGGGCTTATCAAGTTCTAAAAAGGTTTCCCCAATAAATCATGTTCGGGCTACCCTACTCACAGACATTTGGAATTCATATAAAAACAAGTCTAATATGCTTTAATTTAATATGCAAACGCTGCGCACTCAAATCGTAGTCAGCTTCAAGCCAACACCTTTTGAGAAATGCAGGTGTGCCAATGGAAGTGCGCCCAAACCATTTGCTAGACATTTGAGCAATTTTTAACATGCATAGCAAAAGTCAAATATGAAAACTGTCAGCAGTGCTGGAAATTTATGACTTTGTTAACGCAACGCACACACACACACATACACTTACTCATACATGTATAAATACCAATGCACAACTGTCTGTGCCTGTGTGTGTGCTGCAAAGTATGCTACAAATTTCAAATTAATATGCAGGAAGCAACAAAAAATTGAAATGGGTGCAAAAGAACACACACACATACATATATCTGCAAAAAGTTTTGGGGCACATGTTTCAGCTCGCGACGAATTATCGAAGCCGGCAGCTTTTTCAAGTTTACGCAGAATTTACTACGTGATTTTCGAGACGGGGCACATTTTTATACAACTCATATATCAACGTAAAATGACATTTTTATTGTTCGCCGAAAGTACAAAAAGTGGCTGGGGCGGCCTAAGAAAATTTAATGAATTTATTTCAGCAATAAAATGGCTGGGGCAAACCCCAGAACCGTCATCATGAGAAATTGAAAGACCTGAGATATTGAGTGCCTGAGCTTCTTGTACTTACCTTTAATTTTTGTTCTCAACGGGAAATTTGTTGTCCTTTAATGCAGCTAAGATTTCGCTTGATCTAACGCAGTCAGCCTGCGGCGCGAAAAGAATTATATGCACATGTGCGTGATTGATTAAAAAAATGTGTTAGCCCAGGGACAAACAGGCGTGGCTGCTGCTGCATGCATGTCGCAAGTTGTTGCCGCTTGCCACGTGCAGTTGCAACGGCACTTGCAGTTAATTTAAGACTTTTCACACAATTTTCGTTCGGCGCGCCGTCTGCTTTTTGCGTGAAACGCAGCACGCGTTGCAATCGCCTTAAGAACTACTTTTAACAAATGTGCAAAACGTGACTCAA